TCACCCCGTCGTCGGAGGTGCAGTAGATGGATGTGTCCCCAATGAGGGACAGACCCTCTGCACAGCGGTACGTCACCTCTGTGCCGTAGGGGAACTGCTCCTGCCCAAAGCCAGAGTGCTGCCCGTGGGTGACTTGGGGAGGGGGGCCGCAGGCTGTGGAATAAAGGGAATTGATAAGAAATGCTCAGTTATGTTCAGGCAAAAAATAAAAATCGCTTCTGGGAAATCAGTGCGAGAGTTAACTTCATGTTTGCAGCGCGGCAAATTCGCACAAAGTTGCTTGCCTGGCTTCTTGCCCCTTGGGCCAGCTCCAGGCTCCCACTTCTCGCCCACCTGGGTCACATCTCCAGGGAAAGGACGCCTGAACCCTTTCAGCTCAAGAGCCAGAGGCCACTACAATTCCCCACAAGAAGGCGCTGAAGGCAGGTCACTGTTTCTGAGCACCGACGCGCAAGATTCCTTCTCAGCCCTGCGTTACATGTACCTTTTTCACAGAACGGCAACGGGGGAGCCCAGCTGGCATTAGCCTGACACTCGGTCAAGTCCTGGCCCCTGAGGATGTAGCCCGGATCACACGCCAGCCTCAGCTGCGTACCAGCTGTGTAGTCATTTTTGCTTTTGTAAACCTCTCTTCCATGAGCAGTATCTGGCCTTGGGCAACGAGGTTCTAGAAACAATGAAAAATTAAGGATGTCATGTATTTTCAGAAAGAACTCCAATGAAGATGCTTTCCGGGGAGAAGACAGTTATTAAGAACATCTGAACCCTAGGAAAAAGGGTGACTATCATCCAGATGCAGGTTCAGCACTTGCTTTGTAGCTCTAAAGGAGTTTCTGCTCCTACAATCATTTTCTTCTGAGGCTGTTGGGAAAGGCCCATGCTGCAGAGCTCAGGCCATGCCTGATCAAGCCTCCTCTTGGGGGGGGGGTTTCAACACCACCCACCATTATTGTCCCAGGGACTGCAGCCCTGCTTTCCCACTGAGCTGCACTCGACGGGTTGCTGAGCATCTCACAGCCAACATAAGGGCTGGGACTAGGGGTCGTCCATGGTCTGATGCTGGCTGCCCTGCGAGGTGGAGCAGGCTCTTTCCTCCTGGCAAGGTTTTCCTGAGCTTTTGGGCTGAGGCTGCTTCCAGCAGCTCGCGGATGTTGCTATGGTGCCCCACCGCTAGGCTATGAATTTCAGCAGTTACTGACGCTGTTGCCTTTTCTTCTGAGAGGTGAAAGGCATTGAGAACATCCTCTGACCCCAAGCCTCATGTCAGCAAACCAGCCCGCATGTGGTCCAAAGCACAAACCACATCCCCTTCCAGCTGGGCAAATGTCTCCCAGGCTTCTTAGGAACCTCCTAAGCCTCTAGAAGGTACCAACACCCAACCCTTTGCATCCCACCTCCCCAGACATTACCTCAGCCCCCTGCCAAAACCCCATACTTTTTCCACAGCGATCCCCAGGCAATACAATGATCCGTCTGGATCTTCTGCTGCCTATTTCTTCCCAGTTAACACAAGAGGACTAGATCTGGAGATACATGACAGTGGGGCAGAATTCTCCTTGGCCACTACTGCCGTCATCTAAGGCCATGTGTAGATTTTCTTATTTTTTTGCAAGTGTCTACAGCTATGCTGTAGAGTGACCCAAACCTTTGCAGTCAAAAAGAAGCAGCTGCCAAGTCAAGATGCTTCACCCACTCTCACCTACCTGGAGTGCACTCCGGTACTGCTGGGTCCCAACTACCATCACTTGTACACCGAAGCACCATGTCACCACTATGACCTTTGAGAACATGCCCGTCGTCACACTTAATTTCCAGTCTGTCTCCATACGCATAATAGTCTTTCTTTCCCCAAAAATGTAAAGGCTTTCCATTCCTGACGTCTGGATTTGGGCAACGAATTCCTGAAAAATACCGAACGTCAGCAAGGGTGAAACCGTGGCAAAGCGGTCTGGCAGGCAGGAGGTTCATCGTAAATTGAAGGACGAACGTGAGACAAAGACACACCACAACACTAAATCTGCCCCAGCACTGTCCCTGGGTGCTCCTGGGGAACGGGGTGTTTGCAAGGGACTCTGCAACTGCACCCTCTCCTTAGATGGAGCAAGGGGTCCTCAACACCACAGTGACTTTTCCCACAGGTTCAAGGGACCAGAAAGCAAAGCTGGTAAATAAAGCAGAGGAAACTCTGTAGCTGGGGAAGAAACCCAAGGAGTTGAAGAGTCACAGCAAAGACCAGAGACGTGCCAAGCTGGGCACCTGAGGCATACCCGCTCCCCCCACCCCGCAATCTGCACCACAACAGACCACATACAGTTTCTTCATTCAGCAATAATTTTGCCAGACCACAGGGGTAAGCAAGCCAAAGGAACAGACACTTACTCTCGCAAGGATGTGGAGTTTCGGTCCACGTAAAATCTGGCAGACACTTCACGTGCCGGGTGGTTTCTCCCGGGCTGAACTGGTGGCCCTCCCTGCACTCGTAGGTAATGACAGTCTCCGCAGGGAACAGATTGCCAGCAAGTTTTGCTTTAACAGCATTACGCACGTCTGGAGGGTCGTCACAGCTACCTAGGAATGAAATACAAAGTTAGGGACGTCGCCAGTGACAAATCAGCGAGGCCCAGAATGCTACGTAACATGAGAAAGAATTTGGGTGAAAATTGTGGGCTCATATTGTTCTTTCTGGGATGCACTTAATTGCCTGAGCTCAGTAATGCTAACGAGCGAAGGCAAAGGAGACAAATGAAAATGTATGAATAATTTCAGACTGCATGGTTGATTTTCACTGCTACAAGGAGATGTCATTTCTAATAAAGTTTGTACTGAGGGTCTACCACCAAACTTTACAAATATTAAATATAGAAAGGTTCATTTAGTCCCTTTGAATTCTACTGAGAAATGATCACCGGCTGTAACGGGGACAAGGCTTTAGTCTCTACGGCCCCAAGTCATAAATTCCTCCAGTCACCTTCGTGCTGCGGATTGACCAGCCAAAAATAACCCCAAAAAGTTAAATCTTGGAGCCATCCCTTTCCTGACCCAATGCTTTTTCAGACGGGTGGGAAACTTGGCTGAAGCGATGCTGCTGGATCGGGTGGAGCAGCGCTCGGACCCCCGCACTTACTGCGCTGACAGAGCGGCAGCGGAGGGTCCCAGAGGCCGTTCTCTCCGCACGTGGACGTGTCGCTGCCGTTCAGGGCGTAGCGGAAGTTGCAGTTGAACACGACTCTGTCACTGTAGGTGTACTCAGCCCGGTGCCCGCTCAGCAGCTTCCCGTTCTCCACTCGCGGGTACTCACAGCTAACCACTGCGTCAGGGAAACGCCACCGCTTAGGGAAATCAGCAGTTACGCTCATAAAAGCGTCCCCGTAGCACGAGACGTGTTCATCAAAAAGGCTCAAAGCGGACACGGCGAGGGAGCAGGCCGGCGCGAGACTTTTGAACTCCTTACTCCATATTACAGCTTTTTTTATGTTAAGGCAAAGCGTGAAAAGGACATAGGGAAGGCAGCAGGCACCGCAGCAGGTTTCTGAATTCTTTTACACAGGCCGGCAGGCAAGGTGCATCGTCTGGTCTGCGAGCGCTGATAAAAATCCCACTCCCGTGTCCCCTGCTGACCTGGTGAGCAGTCGTGCTCCCTGCGATGGGAGACCCTAATTCCTGCTCCTGCTACCAAACTCGGAGGGACTCATCTGCAACAAAAGCAGCTCCAAGGAAGAAAACAGCTCTAGCAGACGGGGCAGGAGGCAGCGGAGAAGGCGCCACAGCTGGTGCTGCCGCAGTGCCCGTGCGTGGGAGCAGCTCACCTTTGCACTCCGGGGCTGGTTTGCTCCAGACACCGTTTACGTTATCTGTGGTCGTACAGAAAATAGAGGCATCTCCCACCAGCGAGAAAGGTCTCTCTCCCCTCGGGGCGGTGTGGCACCAGTAAGTGACAGACGTACCGTATTCAAAGAGCTCTTTGTCGGCTCCGCTGTGGTCTCCATTAGCTATTGCTGGAGGGGGTGAACATGGTATTGCTGGGGAGGAAGGGGGGGGAGAAATGACAGAGGGAGGGAAGAACAGAGAGAAAAGAATTTAATTCGTTCTGAACCAAAGGTCTGGTAAGAAAAAACATTGAAAGACGAGGCGCCAGAAGAGGCAGAAATTAAGGGCAGGTCTCAAGGGAGCTGCACGCCAGCCCACAGGTAGCAGAGCTGTCACCCAGGCACGGGGTGGTTTTGGGATATACCAGTCCTACATGCAGCTGCCTTACTCCCAGTGAATAAATTTTTCTGCAGGATGATGCAGGAAGAAAAACGGCTTAAAAAATGTCTTTCCAGACTCCACCATGCATCCAGCTGCTGAAATCCTCAGCAGGGCGACATGACTGCTTTTTTATCCATCCCCAGTAACACTTCAGCAGCAGATCAACTAAGGAACTCTACTTACGCTCACAGATGGGAACATCTCTGTCCCAGCTAACACCACCATCTCTAATCACACATTGAATTTGAGAATTTCCAACCAGTCTGTACCTGTGTGAAACAGGGGAGAGGGAATTACTTCACAATCAGGATGGCTTTGGCTTCTTTATCATAATTAACAGCTGATCAGAAATTTGCCATCGATGTCATTTTTTTCAATGACACACTGGCTTTTGATGGGGTTTCTAAGGAAAAAACCTACTTTCTCAGCCAGCTGTAGCTCTCACTACAGCTTTAAGTTCAGCATTGATGTCTTTTCTTCAAAAAGATATTGAGACATTGGAAATGGGTTAGAAAGGGCCAGGAGAGTGAACCTGAGTTCATGAAGAACTGCCTCGAAGTACGAGATTAAGAAAACTCAGTCCCAAAGTTCTCAGAGGGAAGCTTAAAAGGTATTTCAATCACAGCCTGCAGTTACCTACACTGGTAGGCACAGGCTTTAATCTAGAGGGAAAAGACTTCAGAAAAACCACTGGGGAAGAAGAGGACCTGTGCCCTAAGTGCTCCTGCCTTACCCAGTGTTGCAGACGAAGTTTACTGTTGAACCAAAAGTGAACCTTTCTGCTAGGACGAGTCTGCCGTTGGTCGGCTCTCCAGGGTAGAGGCATGACTTTGCTGGGAGACAACGGGACGGGAGTTAGTTCTCATTTCAGTTTCTCAGAAAATGCAGCAGGAAAGCAGAGGACTCCTCCAATAGTGAGCAAGGGAGTGGACCAGAGACCTCCAGATTTCCCCTCCGCCCCTAAATTATTCCATGATTCATGATGCTGTTAAGACTTGCATCAGGACCTGCAGCCAGCCTCTGCGGTCTAAGCGGGGTTTTGCAGTAAGCCTGGCAAGCACGACAGCGTCTCTTCATGGCTAAAGGATTCTCCCACTGCAAGTTGGAAATACTTTTTTTGAACCAAGAGTTAGAAAGTGCCTGAGCAGAAGAACATCCTTTGAGTCAGCAATCAAACAGCCAGCATCAAAGCAGATTCCAGCTTTTACCATCACTACCAGTACTTAGTGGAATAAAACTGGTGCTTCATGTCAGGTCATCCATCTCCCACCATCCCACGAGGTGACTTTGGATACTGCTCCAACAAAATGAGCTGATAGCACCAGTGAATACAAAAGAAATAAACCAAAAGTCAGCCCAAAAGATACTCACGTGTACAGATCTCCTGTGGTCCATGCCATTCGTCGTCCCTTCCACAAACAAGGAAGTTTTGGACATTAAAATTCCTCACATAACCTGGACGACAGATGTATTCCACCACTGACCTATGGCGAAACGTGGTAATGCCACGGTGCTGCTCTTTGAGTTCTGCAGATGGGAGACGTGGCGGGGCATCGCAGGCACCTACCGACAGAAACTCCATCAGAAAGACGCTGGGAGGAAAAGTAAAGGGAGCCCAGGCCTGATTTGCTCTGAAAGTCCAAGAAAGGACCCTTCAGTGGCCTTAAAACTCCTTAAAGCTAGAAACAAAGAGGAGAAGCGCAGTCTGTGACTGGGGATGGCCAAGGCTGGCAGGGACAGGGGAGGAGCATCACCCCCCCCGAGGTCCTGTTTGCTCCTCACACCTCATCCAGCAGTTTGAAAAGTGGTCAAAAACTCCAGATGGACTGTTTCCTCTCAGTATAAATCATTGCACCTTTTTCAGCTGGAATAATTTTACGTTCATTTTACACAGAAAGGACAAAAAAGGCAAAGGAAGATGGATTCTGACCACAAAAATCTACAATGATCTCGAAACACAAAGGCAGCAAAGAAAAGCAAAGGATCCAAGTCCTGTGAACCCCAGGAGAAGGTTTTCCTTTGAGGGATCTTAGTTCATCCCGACAGACTCGTTCCCTCCTCGCATTCACTTACTCTTGACAGCCACAATAAGAGCAGCGTTGAGGAATAACCTGAGGACAGTGGCACGATCGCTCTGCCTCCCCGGCTCTGAAGCTGGCATCTTTCTTTATTCCAGCCCCCTTGCCTGGAGATCCCACAGAAGTTACCACATGCTTTTTCCAGGCCAAAGATCTGTAAAAGTAGCAGGGGAGCATTTACACTCAGGATAACCATAGCCCAGATGGACAGGCCGCGTTTTTCCATCCCTGAGCAGTTCCTACAGTCATGGCTGAGGACCAGAAGCTGCAGGAGCTATTGCAACACTCTGCAAGAGAGCGGAGCAGCTCCTCTGCTGGTTCCTCTCTGCCAATGGGACCAAGACCCAGCATGGAGGAGCTGGGCTGCTGGGGCAAAGCTGGATTTGGGTGAGGAAGGCTGACTCCAGCAGACCAGACTAGAGACAAGAACATACAACATAAACAGGACAACTGATTGTATATGTTAAGCAATTCCCACAGGCTTTATTCCACTAGTCTCCTTTACTTGCATTTTTCAGAATGCAGCTTTCAATTAAAATTTAAAACCACTATATTGCCAACAGAGTGTTCTCCCCAGCCAACCAGCCAAATTAATACCTGCAGGGCCACGCCTTTATTTATGCCTTCCAGAAAAAGTCCCCTTGAAATTTATGAGTAAGACATTTTGGTTTAGTAATAAATCTCTTGGAAGCAAATTCATAGTCAGATGAAATCCTGCTGGAGTCAGTACAGTCCCCCAACCAGAAGTTACATACAGAGAGAAAGAGAGGGAAGGATCTAACCAAAAAGATACATCAGTTTTGTGCAAATAACACCAACTGGACTAAAGCTATAAAGCATACAAGTCATTCAGGAGACCAAATTGCTTTACAAACTGGAATTTAAGTGCAATGTGGACTAGCCTGGCACTCCCAGAGATCAGCAAGAGTCCTCTCTGCCTTTGTCATCCAGGATCATTATTTATGAGGCCAAACCCTCCCAACGTTATGTACACCCCAAGTGCCTATTTTCCACCTGGAAACAAGAGTCTGTCTTGATGCTTTCTGCCCTAAACCTAACACTTCTCAGGGCTGTTTCACTCCTCTGGCTTTCCTTTGACCCTTGTTGCAGCTCTTGGTTTAATTTACTAAACTTTGTGCCTGCCAGAGTTGCAAGAAAGCTCCAATCCAGTTCCCAAGAGCAGCAGTGCCTAAAGCTGTATGGCTCGAAGTTGTCTTACCTGGAGGTCTGGCAGCAGGAGATGGCGAGATCCGGCGTGTTCGGCTCTCACAAGGCAAAGCGATGGCTGTCCTCGTCCACTGCCCCCAGCTCCAGGCACTGCAGCACTACAGGAGGGGTTACGATATGCCTACACACTCAGATATGGCTCTACGCAGAGAAGTTTAAATCCTGCAGAGACCAGAGTTGTGCCAGTTGACCCATAAATCATTAACTCCTCCCCCGAGCAAGGAGGAAGCAAGTTCATTCAACCCATAAAGTGAAACACCAGACAACTGAACGCAACCCAAGCAGATGTTGAAATTATTTGTTTTCTGCACGGAGCTGCCAACTCTTTGTTGAAATGATCCTTGCAGAGCAGGACAGTGCCTGTTCCACCCTGCAGCAATGGCACCCGGCCAGTGTCGGTCCTCAGGCGATGCCCAGGGACCTTGGGCACCCCATGGGGGCCTCCTCAAGAAGACTGCTTCACCCTGGGCCATGTCAACCCTTCTGACCTCAAAAGCCTATGGTCAATATTCAAAATATGGTTTCTTCAACCAGCTCCACCTAATCCCAACTAAAGCAACACCAGCCGGAGCTCAGCAGCACACGAGGTCCCAGGGAGCATCGCTCGGAGCTGAACACCCAGGTCCATGATGGGAACCCAGCTGCCCTTCGTCTCATGGAAAGCTGTTCCCCAGTCCAGCTGCCACTGGCGGGCCATTTTCCAGTAACAAAGAGTTTTGGCAGGAGTTGCAGCCATTTGCTCCTTTTGCACTTTGGCTGCACGGCTTCATCCAGGCTTGAATCACCATCAAGAACCTGGCAATGGCCTTTTTACCCCGGGTGGTGCTTCTTGAAAGTATCGGTTTGTCCTGCCAAATCTGAGGGATTTTTTGCCAGAAAATTTTACCACATCCCTCTATGAGCGGGATATATTATCTTCCTGAAGTTCACCTGAGCCCATGCCAAAATGCAGTGAAAGAGATTTAGTTCTTGCTCTGTGAAACACAGCAGAAGGCTGCCTGCCCTCATCCTACGAGCAGGGGCTTGCTCACCACAGGCCCCTCGTCACTCCTGAGCAGGCACTGACCTCCACTAATAATCCAGTTAATCACAAACACAAACACAGGCTTCCTAGATTTATTTTTTTTTCCAGATGACTCAGAACAAGCAGATTTGTATGCTGAAAACAGCAGCTTCCCCGCAGGTACCCCAGAAGGTTATTTAGCACCTGCACAGGGTGCTCACAGCCACGAGCATCAGCCAGGGCACAGCCACGCCGAAACCCACCTCCTGCTCCGATGGCTGCTGAACACCCCTAAGCCCTCCCCAACCTGCAGCAGGATAAACAGGACAAAAAGGGGTTTTTCCTTGATCACATCCAAGGCCACTTCAGGACCAGCTGGGCTGGTTTCCAGCTCCAGATGCTGGAAATCACACCAGTTGCTCCTCTTGACTTTTTTTCCTAAAAAGAGATGTGCTTTAAAAAAAAAAAAAAAAAAAAACTGTTCCTACCCTAACAGCTCGACACAACCCCTGCAAATCTAAATTCCAAAGCTCCAATAAAAACACCCTTAAAACTGATGAGGGAAGGGAACAGCAGCAGTAACTCCAGGGTGCAGGGTTCACTATTTGCAACCCAACTCCCAAAAGCCAGGGACACCTCCTCTCCCCTGGAGACCCTCTTCCTCCAAACGCTTTCCACAGACTCCCTGAATTCACCATTATCTCACAAAACCAGCCCACAACAGGCAGCTACAGTAAACTAGCAGAAAGTAACAGAGGAAACTGGATCTATGTATTTTTAAAATGTCTTTATTGCAAATAAATGTTCATGCGGTATTTATGCTCAAGTGCACAGAGTACACAACATACAGCAAAAGCTTACATACATTACACTTTTTTCAAACCTAAAAAACTCTTAGAAAGCAGGTAGCATAGCAAGTAGACACGTAACATCCACCTCAGCCAACACCAGATGCAGAGATGCAGTTTGCAAACACTGTTCAGAGACAGAGGAGCAGCAGGAGGGGGGGGGTGGCACCAGCAGCGCTCACCCAACGCCCTTCAGAGGAGCACAGGGTGAGGGTTTGGGATGTACTCCCAGAGCAGGCTGCTCCTGGAAGTGCTGGTGGTGAGACCTCTCCTCCTCAGCCCCGTGGCGGCTGGGCTGGGCTTCCCCGTCCCGGGAAGGGGACGCCTTGCCGAGGTGGCAGCTCTAACGTCACAGCCAGCGCACACAAACTCAAGCCACCCGGCCTGGTTTTAAGTCTTTCTCCTCACTTTCCAGTTTTCCCCATCGCTGGCAGCAGAGATGGAACAGGTTTTGCCCGAGCAACCAGTTTTCCCGAAAACAACCCGTCAGGCTGGTGGGCCAGCCAGCCAGCCCCCGCCCTGCGGCTCAGGGACAGCGACGCAGCTCCCACGGGTGGCCCTGCCACTGCTCACTGAAGGCGACAGCAGCCCCCACCACCTCTGCTGACAGAAATGGGGAGAAAGTCAGGGAAATACAGGAGAAAAACAACCCCACTCATGGTGCAGTGCCCACAAAGGCCCCAAGCCCACTTCCACACCTCCAAATTCACCACCCCTGCCCGCCCAGCCCGAGACGCCAGCTCCAGTAGGGCCAACAGCACAAGCCGCTGCTAATCCTCAGCTCAGGCCCATTGTGCAATCGTTGTTTATTCTGAGGTATTTGCCTCCACGGTGCCAAGGAAGTCAGGTGATTTCAAGGAATACCTGGCACAGGGACCCGCCAGCCCGTTTGGGGCTGGGGAGATGTGGGGGCTCACTGGCATCACCCCAGCCCTGCTGGCCCCGAGAGCTCCGGGCTTGGCAGGACACCGGGACCTGTCCTGTCAGGTATGATTCACCCGGGGGGCAATGATGAGGATCACAAATCTGCTGCTGCTCTGCTCTAGGCACGTGTATTTACACCTTTTGGAAGTTAAAATGCAGGAGGAAAAGGCTACAGTTAGGCTTTAATTAAAGAACCGAGGCACAAATGCTGCTGTCCGCAGAGGCAGCTGAGAGGCTCCATCCCACGACCAGAGCAAGGACCCACTCGATAGGAATTAGAGACCCACAGCCAGTGACCCAGGACTGCAGACCCGATTTTTAGCAGTGATTAAAAAAGCTACAGCCACCAACATATTAGCAGCTACATTCATGAATCTTGGCAGGTAAAAATACATATTTTGTCTCCTTACAACCATTAACTACTCAATGATACAAATACAATTAACTCCTTCACAAGTTATTACAGCATATTGT